CCTCCAGTCACGGTCATGGGAAGGTTCCCCTGCCACCTTCAGCCACGAGAAGGTCCCTGTGCCATCTCCAGCCATGGCCACGATGCCTCTTGGTGACACTGAGAGGAGCCAGAGCTGGAGCAAGCCCTGAGCCACAGGAAAGGAGCACAGTCTGACTCTGGTCTCAGACACACTTTTTAATGAAATCTTTCAACAGGGGAAGACAAAAAGAATAAAATAACACTAATAATTCCAGAAGCCTGTCTGGCACAGTGTTTGGTCCCTGGAGCCTTGCTCAGGAGCTGCTCACAGGAGCCCTGTGGGGCAGCGAGGCAATGTCCCCGCAGCGGGGGTGGCTCCGGCCGGTGCCGAGGGTCCCAGAGCCAAGAGAGGCAACAGCTCACCGCGGAAGAGCCGGACCCAGGGCTCACTTGTGCCGTCCCATCTCCAGCGACTCGGCCCGTCTCGCAGGTCACACCATGGAGCTGCTGTCTCCCACCCTCTGCAAAAGCTGCAACAGGGACAGATCCTGGTTAGCCCTAAAATCGTCCAGTGCATCCTCGGGGGGGTGTGGAGAAACCATGGTGACCTTCCCTGTCCGGTCCCAACTACGGCGATTGGGATTGATATCACCCAAGGACTGCAAACCCCCAGGGTCACATCTGCCTGGGAGAACTGTGCCCAGCGCCCTGCTCACCTTGCTCAGCACGGGGATGTTTGCCAGCGAGCCCAAAAACCCAAAAGCCACAGGTAAAAAACTCCTGTACCAAAACAAAAGTCTCTGTTAAGCCCCGTGCCAGAATTTTACTGGGATGGGAGCAGTGGGGGCTCTGCCCAGGGCTGCAGGGCACAAGGCTCGCCCAGCTCCTGCTCTCCAGCCCGGGGCACCCATGCCACACCGCAGAGTGGGGTGCTGCGGGACGGACCTGAAGAGGGTGATGAAGCCATACGCCTCCAGCAGCATACCCAGAAGGGGCCACCGCATGAGGACGATAAGGACCCCCCCAAGGAAGAAGCTGGTGCCCTTCAGCTTTGGCCGCTGGAAGAAGAAGGTGAAGGTCCTCCTGAAGCCGATGATGAAGACCAAGCCAGAGAGGAAGAGGATCTGGGAGGATGAAGGGGAGCAGGTGAGAGAAGCCCTGCCCAGATGGACCCTTTGCTCCATCCTGGGCATCAGCGCCTGCTGTGGGAAGCCCCGGCCCCGCCAGACTCACGTTCCCGAAGGCCAGGAGCACCGAGTCGAAGTACAAGAGCATCCCAAAAAAGACGAAGAAGAGGCCAAAGCCGACCAGTCCCACGCCGATCCCTGCGGAGGACGGGAGGAGGACTGAGATGGGGGTTTGGGCACACAGCTCAGGTCCCACCTTGGGCTGCAGTTGCTCTCCTCAGCACCTCCCTGGCCCATTCCCTCCCAGAAATGTGCTTTGGATTTATCTCCAAGGCTTAGAAACAGCCTGTCCACCTGCCCAAGCCTTGGGGAGACTGTCAGGTACCCCAGAAACTCCTCTGGGCTGCCAGATAAAGAATGAACCACAAAGAAAAAATAAATGGGAAGGTCGTCTCCAGCATTTTTCTGAACAGTGGCACGAAGGGAGTTGGTGCAGGCAGCCGGTGGGAGAGGCTGGCGATGCTCCCTGGATGAGCCAGGCACCTCCCCAGCTGCTGTTCCCGATGCAGACCTGGGGCAGAGGGTGAGGGCAAGCCCGGCTCTGCAGCGCCCACGGTGCTGGTCCCCACACACAGCTCTGCCTGGTCCCTGCGTCCCGGCAGGGCTC